AAAATTAGAGAATTGAAGATATCATCATGAAATGAACAAATCTGAGAGAGGTCTACCCAAGGTACATATACACCAAGTATCAAAGCATTCAGGCTTGTAGTTTTCAGGAAATCGAAAAAGTAAAACATTGACACGGACAACGACGAACAATCACTCGTATGATAAGCTCCGCTTGTCAAAGTCAACAGCGGAGCTAAAAAATGATTCAACAAAGTGTGTGTGGAGAAAGAAGACGTTGTTTGGTGGCCATTTTGAATTTATAATAAAGTCATTAGCGACATCTTGAATCATTTCTCTCGCTAAATTCGCGAAAAAGACATGTTTTACCATATTTACTCAAATTTGTTGTCTGGTAGAACATTGAAATATTGGCAGCTGTTATTGTAGATTGCAGCCGTAATGTCTATGGATCTCTTTGTGAGCATAAGTGTATGTAACTAAACTAGATGTGCGGACACCTCCTGATGATGCTAATTTTTGCTAGCATATCCATAAATAGAAACGAAATATTATACATGTATATGGGTGTATGCACTCAAGCACCAGTATACACTCCGTAAACACTATACACTATTCTGACTATTCCACTTGTCATAAAATTTTATTTTATTAAATCGCATCATCGCTGTACTTCATGTAAATATACATTGTATATTCTTCAATCATGCTCTAAGAATTACTTTACCAGTGAATGCTAATATTTCAATATGCTTCATTTTTAGATACTCCCTTATTGTGGAGGATGGAGTTGTGAAACATGTCAACTTGGAGCCTGATGGTGGTGGATTGACTTGTAGCTTGTCAACAAATATCCTGTCTCAGCTGTAAAAGATGTGTGCATGCAGCCACTCAACTATAATAAACAGAATCTGCTATTTGCCATTACTAGTACATGTACATGTATTATAAAGAGATTTTCTTTGAGTTGTACTTTGTGTTAAAAAAAACACTTCTTTTTTGGGGGGAACCATTGATAATGAAGCACATTTGATATAGTTGAAGTACTTCTGTCAGTTCACACCAAGTTCTATTTAGGGTTAACATTGGGTCTGGTGAATAGATTGATTCGTAATGAATGCACTGAAAGCCATGTTTCAGCAAGTCTCAGAAGTTTTGGGGCAGCCAATTTACTATGGTTTTGACGAAATGGTTGGCTTTCGAATCTCGCTGGTGTCGTTTTGTGGTCATGCCCACTCTGGGTGAATCTATATAACAGTAGCGGACGATCGTCATACTTGAGGAGTTAATCAGCAGCGGTCTCACAGTTGGATGGCGATTTTGCTTTCAAATATACCAGAGAAAGTGTTCTATGTTCTTCGTGTAATTAGGTGTTCGTATACAAGGGACTGTCCACGCAAAAACGACGAATGAAGTCAAATTTTATTAGGATTGGCCTTAATATTAGTCCAATCGTTTGGATGTTGAAGTTTATTTTCTTCTGATTTGTAGGAAACTGTATCTCAACTTGTCTGTTCGTTTAGTTTCAAGCAGTGTTCAAGATGGCTACCACCATATAGTAAATATCGGTGGATTAATCGCATTTATCATATTATCACTTGTACGCCAGCTACTACTTGTACATTATAATGCCTCGCAAAGCAAATCATTCAGGAGAATCCATACATGTATCCAGGCTATGTAAAAGCATTCTATGTCCCCTAATGCAATATAGACTCGCCCAGAGTGGACTAAACCACGAGTCGGCACCAGCGCCATTCAAAAGCCAACTGTTTAGTCAAAACCCAAGCAGTTAGCAAATTCACTCGCGAGTTTGCAATTTGGCTGCCCCAATATTTCTGAGACTTGCTATAACACTAAATAACCTAGCCAAAGCGCATGTTTCAACCCTGTCACTGTCGAAATAGGCTATATTCTGTACTACAGTATTAAATTCGCTCATTGAGTCAAACCACCTAATTTCTGTTCCAAATAAAAACAATTTCCTTTCTCCCCACAAACTTCTTATGGAAAAGAAATTAAACTTTTTCTTTCGTTGGAATTACAATGTACCATCATTGAGGTTTCTAATTCTACAATCGTAACCTGACTATGGTACATGTATAACAATTGAGCCACCTTTCAAAAATGTCATGATACATTTAATGGATGGATTTCATGCTCAGCCAAGGTTATTTCACAATTTTTAATGGATTTTGTTCATAATTGTATTCATTCAATATGATATAGCTCCTTATTTGGAGATATTACTAGCATTTAGTTCTATTGGTTTCAGTAAAAATCAATTCCTGTTCAGTATCTAAATAAACTTATGACTGTGCCTTAAGTTTTTCCCAGTTTGTATATTAAATATTCCATTCCTTTTATGTGGAGAATGTTGTGGATCTTGCTTTTAGTCTTCAGGGTCCTCAAATTTGTTTTGCAGAGAAGAAAAATGTAACCATTTGAACTTTTTCTATCTCTGCGACTTTTGTGAAAATCTGTGCTAGTCGCCCCATATAAATGCTCTCCAAAACGTGGACACCTTGAATCAGTATGCTGTAGTAGTACTCTGACAAAGATTTCTGCATATTTGGTGAATTTTCAAGGCCTTAATTGTGAGCTATGTATTAGACTATCACCTGCTAAATTCAGTAAGCAGGGTGCTCCTCATAAAATTTCAATAAAGAATCTTACAAGAGCCGATTGTGAGTAGACATCAAAAGATGCGACCAGTTTGCCAATTGAAATGCTTTGTAAATCAAGTGACACACACACCAGATAATGGTATTAATCAGCTTTTTTTTTTATTGTTACACTCATGGAACATTCCATAGATACATGTACATATACTGTATGTGTATATACATAGATAATTGTACAACTCTAGTCTTTCTAATGATAGAAAGAACCAGGGCATTATAAATCTCATCCATCCCAGAACTCCATGAATCAGAGACCCATTTGTGAACACAAATTATATAAGGTACTCATTGATTAATAATAACTGTCTGAGCTTGGCACATAGAGAAATGTTATCAATATTACAAGAAAAAAAACAATTTGAATTACGTAATTTGCTGACAATTTATATACAATCTGAGTCCGCCAGTGTGCCCTCTAAATTCACCCAAAATGAAGTTGAGTCTGTTTGTTGCATACCGTACTAGGGAAAGAAAGGTTTTTGAGAACAAAACTGTAAGCAGCTGTAAAGATGACTTGAGACACAAACAAAAATTATTTTTGATTTTAACACTTATTGTGCAATTACGGGGATATTAAGATGTTTTTCTGTTGCGTCAATGACGTGCCAGTGAATTAGCATAACTAGTCGCATCACAGCCGTGTCATATCAGCTTTGAGGGCACACTGGGATTCACTTTCTTTTTATTCCATTAAACTTGATGATTTGTAATACTGTGATTGTCAAAGCCGTATGAAATGTCCACATTTCCCTGGAGCATGAAATTACAGCAGTTTTACATTATTGCTATTAACAACAACCAAGTGACAAAGTGCTACTAACAGTGGTGCACGCATTAATTCTAACAACAAAAAAAGCCTTTTCATTGAAATATGATCTGGATCAAGATAGGAAAAAATATCTGAAGACGGTCTTGATTTGTTGAATGTTGTGGGAACTATTGCTTCACTACAGATTGGTTATTGGTTTGTAAAAAACTGTAGTGACGTACTTCCTGGTGTATCGTCGTGTTGAACTAAGCACCATCACACCGTCCTGCAAACGAAGAATACCGATCAATAGGG